AAGATTCCCAGGAATCTGTTGACATTCTTGGATGGGGAGGACTCCACACGAAACTGTTGCTGAGGCTCAGAATGTGTCAGGTCAGAACTCAAAGTCTTCCAACCATTTTCGATGTTACTGAGGATGCCTGTCTGTGCAAGAAGGTCCATACTATTGACGAGGAACTTGCACAATTTTCTTGGCAAAATAAGTATGAGAACGACTCAGCAGTTCAGAGAACTTTAATCACCAAACAATCCCTGAGGAAACACTCGACAGCAAAAAGACTCAGTCGGCAGCCATTGAGAGTTGCACAAATTCCGTTCAGTTATCCAGAGATTGTACCCATGAAGAGGAAGCCGTCGATAGTGTCGGGCAGCTGAACCTCGAAGAAACGACTGAAACCAAAGAATCCAGCCAACAGATACAAATACTTCATCCAGACAATTGCAGAAGAGTCTGCAGAAGCTATCGAATCCTTGAAAGGAAAGAAGGATTCACAGAGATTCGCCAGAAGAACTCTTGCTCATCACCAAAAGAGGAAACTTCTTCCAAGACTCATTCTTCCTCCTCGACCGAGACTTCAGTGCCGCTCTCAGGCAGGTGTTGGGCAGGTGCAATCAAGTCAACTTTGAGGACGACACTGACCTCCGCCACACCGATATCCTGGAACGCTACAGGCAGCTTCGGTCTCGCGATCTGAGGGAAGAGAATCAGGCCGCTATCGTCACATCAGACAAGTCTTGTATGAAGGTTAGTCGACATTATTGTCATTGTTACTTTTCGTGTCATTTTGAGTAATATCAATATTATTACTAAATAAATTACTACTATGATTCCTCAAAGAACATTCCAAAAGTAGGTATAAAAAGCTACCTATTATTTCCAGATAATTATGGACGTTCATGATTTCATGAGTGGAGATGTACGAAGTCGTTGATGAGAAGGAAGTCATCGAGGACTTGTGGTGAAGAAGGAAGAAACTCATCCGAAACCTCTCACTCCTTCAGACGCCGCTTCTCTTCCACAGTTTACTAAAAATCACTTCTGTCATGTCATTAGATGGCATCCTCACAGTCACTGTGATGTTTAAGGTATGTTCTAAAAGTCCTATTATTGATATATTTTGCTAGGAGTAATCACCTATGAATAAAGATAAAAAAATCTACACTACGCAAATATTGTATAAAGTTATTGTTTTGCAGGAAGGAAATGTCGAGGCAAATACTGCTGAAAACTCCATTAAAACTGAAGCAAAACGCATCACAAAAGAAATCATTCACTCGAAATCACCTTCACTTCCTGCTGAAAAACGTCTGCTTGAGACCAAGAATGAAAACCAAAATGGACTGAACGAGTATATGACGTCTCAGTCCGAGGAAACTCGTCATTTCCTCGAGATTTCACGTCGGGAACAAAGACGCCTTATCTTGATTGCAGTTTCGAGGACAGCAATAGACTGAGACGCTTTGGACAAGAAAGTGGCAGGGAGTCTCAAGAAACTAATAAGTATAACGTCACCGAAGACGCAATTATGGGAACGTCCTCTCGTTTGGCAAGTGGTTCTCTATCACACTTCACAGAGAAATCTTTTCCTATCACAAGGAAAGGACACTTCTTTTCCCATTACTTCTTCCGAGACACAAGGGAGGATTTCCAGAAGGCCGTTAGGGAAATCCTGAGCAGATGGGGAGAGAAGTCCTGCGGTGACGAGATGACTTCCTACAGGAAACTACGAGCACGAAATATGAGGGAAGACACTCAGGCTGTGACGTCCTCGGAAGATGAACGCCATTATAAGGTACAGACATAGACTAATTATATAATCTGTTTCTCTGTCAAGAAATGTTATTTGAAACATCATGGTAACTCATTGCCTGAATGAACCTTTGTCATGTATTTTCTTCTTTTTCAGTTTGTCATTGATGTTCACGACTTTATGGACGTTGGAGAGATCAGCGTGAAGGCTGTGAACGAGCGAGAGTTGGTGGTCGAAGGTCACTTGGAGAAGAAGGAAGACGGTTCCAAGTCCAGCAAGCGGTTCCTTCGGCGCTTCGTTGTTCCTGGAGACATTGAGCTTGAGGCTGTCATTTCAGTCATGTCTTCTGACGGTGTGCTTAAAATTTTGGCTCCAAAGAAGGTAGGTCATCTGTGTATACGCTCGAATATATTGTTATATAAATATGTATAGGAATGTTTCTGTGCCCAGCACTGCGTTTATTTGAGGGAGTAAAGAGAATAGATATGACTAGAACTGCAAACACTTGTTCAAAATACGTGCAGAGGCGTTTGTCTAAAATACATTCTAGAAACAATCGCATCAAAGTAAATATGCATCATAACTTTGTTGTTCCGCAGGAGGGCCATAATCGAAAACATTTTTCGATTGATGTAGAAGACATGGACGATGTCGAGGCAACGGTTTCAAGGAAATTTAGAAATGGACATCGTCTCGCCGAGGAATATCTGAAGAAGAGAGATTCATCTTCTGATGACGAGGAATTAAGAGCTTTTGCCAAAC